GCTCCCGGGAACATAAACCAGGGCGATCCAGACGAGCCCGCGATTATCCCGCGCTACCCCGTCAGCCCGAACGGAAAGTTGTATTTTCAGGTCGAGACGGACGGCGCCACCCGCCACGACTCCGTCGGGATCGTCGTGGTGGATGCGGAGGCGATGGGGGTGATGATGTTTGACCGGATGGGCCGCCAACACGGCAACCGCCCCGACCCCGGCTATCCCATCAAACAAGAGGAAATCGACAAGGCCGTCGCCGGGGCCGTGATTAAGGTCGGCGCCAAGAATGTCCTGCTGATCACCGCCCTGACGGAGGAGGCTTTTCGCCATGGCGAGTTCTTCCTCCGCTCCGAACACGACGTGCGGATTCGGGAGGATCGAACCAAGGCCGAGGCCGAGGCCGCAACCGTGAAGGTGGCGAAACCGAATATGTCCTTTGGGCTCTCGCTGCTGGGGGGCTCCAGCGGGGGCACCTCGGCGCTGATCTTCGGGGCGCCAACGCTGCGGAAGCGGCCGCGTGAGGGCCAAACCGGCTTCACCGTGCCCATCGCCGGACGGCCAAAGGTCGGGAAAAACGGTCTCCTGGAGGAGATGAAGCCCCTTCATGACCCGGATCGCGCCGGGGCTGTGGTGCTTTTCTACGCGAACTACAAACGCGATGCCCTCGGGCGGCCGCAGGTCTCCGTGGTGGTGGATCCCATCCTCGGCGATAAGCTCCGCCCGCATCAACGGGTGGGCGTGAAGTTCCTCTTTGACTGCATCACAGGGACCCGGATGCCGGGCTACCACGGCGCCATCCTGGCGGATGAGATGGGCCTGGGCAAAACCATCCAAACCGTCGCCGTGATTTACACCTGCCTTAAACAAGGAAAACACGGCAAACCGACGGCGCGCAAGTGCCTTGTCGTGACCCCGTCTTCTCTTGTTCAAAACTGGTGTAATGAATTCGACAAGTGGCTCGGCCCGGGCGCCGTGAAGCACTTCGCGATTTCCGAGTCCACCCCGAAAGGCGACCGCATCATCTCCCGCTTTGACGGCGACGGCGATGTTCTCGTGATCTCCTACGACCAGCTTCGCAAATACATCACTCGCATCTCCTCCCTAAAATCGGTCGAGCTGGTGGTTTGTGATGAGGGGCACCGGCTCAAGAATGCGGAGGTGAAAACCACCAAGGCAATTGACCTGATGCCCACGCACAACCGCGTTATTCTCTCCGGGACGCCGATCCAAAACGACCTTTCGGAGTTCCACGCGATGGTGAATTTCGTCAATCCCGGCATCCTCGGCAACCGGGAGCTTTTCACCCGCGTCTTTGAGGAACCCGTTTCCATCGGACGAGACCCTAACAGCGGGGACTACTTCAAGTCCCTCGGCCACGACCGGGCGCACTACCTCTCGGTTCTCACTCAGCGCTTTATTCTTCGCCGAACTCAGACGATTAACGAGTCCTACCTCCCCCCAAAGGTGGATTTAACCGTTTTTGTCAAGCTGGGAAAGATGCAGGAGGAGGCCTATCAAAAATTGCCGGCGATCGCGGCGAGCGCCGGCTGCACGCCATTGGTGCTCATCTCCGCCATGCGCAAGTTGTGCAATCACATGGACCTTTTCGAGGAGGCGGTTCGCCTTTCCCGACAGCCAGCCATGAATGGGGAGGGTGAACGCGCGGGCCGGCGAAGCCCAGAAGGGATCCCGCTTGGGGTCCTCCCCAAGGGCTTCGCCCGCGGAAGTCTGAACCAGGCCTGCGGGAGTAAACTGCACTTCGTCTCCCTCATGCTGGATGAGCTTCGCCGGAATGGGGAGTGTGATAAGCTGGTGATCGTCTCCAACTTCACGCAAACCCTCGACATCATTGCGGCTTTGTGCGCCTCAAAAAAGGTTTCGTACTTTCAGCTTGACGGCAGCACGCCGATCAAGCGGCGCCAGGAGTTGGTGGACTACTTCAACGTCCCGACCTCGCAGGAGATCGTGTTTCTGCTCTCCTCCAAGGCTGGAGGTGTCGGTCTGAACCTCATCGGCGCGAACCGGTTGATCCTTTTCGATCCGGACTGGAATCCCGCAAACGACGCTCAGGCCATGGGGCGTGTTTGGCGTGATGGTCAAAAGAAACGGGTCTTTATTTACCGCCTTTTAAGTACCGGTACGATCGAGGAAAAGATCTACCAGCGACAGGTTAGCAAGCAGGGCCTCTCTGCTAATGTGGTGGACATGCATGAGGACTCCAAGCAGCATTTTACGCTTGAGGAACTCAAAGCACTCTTTCAGTATAAGCCGAATACCTCGAGCGACACACACGACCTTCTCGCTTGTAAAGACTGCGAAACGGCCGTAATGGAGGCCAAGGAACGTAAACTCAACGGCCAGCAGGTCTCCCCTAATAAGATGAAGTTCACGAAGGTCTCTAGCACCAAGAGTACTGGACCACGCATGGATGAACTTAAAGCATGGCGTCATGTAAAGAATATTGTGAATCTCTCACTTGACGCTGTGGTGCGTTCTATAGCTATAGCGGCCCCTCACCTTCTAAGTTTAGCTTTTATTAATGAGCGCGATCCTGCTAAGAAACCTAATGAGCCTAAGAATGGGAAGCAGAATATGAATGACGATTTAGACTTAGTACTGAGAGTAGAGAAACCTTTTGAGAGTGACGAAGATAACATTATCTGCCTTAGTCAAGCAGCTATACAGGAAAAAGAGAGTCAACTCGATATTGAAGTTCATGACGATGATGATGGAACTGAATCAGAGTTCTCATCAGCCGAAGAATCATCAGCATCCTCGAGCAATGATGACTAGGAATAGGGAGAGATGTTTCAAAAAACGATCCGTTTCCCTTTCCTTCCTTTATCCCTCTCTCTCCTTGCTCTCGCAGAAAAAAAAGATGCTTGTCTTTGATGAGTTCCTGAGCGATCGTTAGGAACTCTACTCATTTGATACTTTCAACCCCTCAACAGGAAGTCCTAAAAACTATCATATTGGAGTAGATCATCTTTTACACTAAGCGAAAGCAATTGTGTCTGAACCTTTAGCCTTATAAAATTGTTTCTTTCACGATGTTGTCAACTACTTTTCCTCTTGTATTGCCATTTGTGACATTTTGTTTTGTCTTTTTATCCTTTCTGTAAGCTGTTCACAGTATATTGGCGGTTTCCAAAATTAAACAACTGCCCCAAATGCTATTTTCCCGAAGATTTTTTTTGGTAAAGTGTTCAAATGCATGCATCTCTTCTTTACTGCTGATGATCTTATCATACTCCTTTGATAGTAATATTACATACTGTAGTTTATTATAAAACAATATTAAAAATCGTGTTATTCTTGAGTTTATTATTATAGATTTGCCGTGGTAATTCTTATCGATATTATAATCGTAACATAGTGTTTTTAAATAGGAAAATATTTCTTACATATATTTAAAACTATACAATCTCAAATTAAATTGTTTTCCTAACAAAATATATACAAACCTATTATTTTGAAATCAACTGCTGTGAGCGAAATGTCCGATTCGAAAAATCAGGTCGCACACCGGAAATACGGCCGTGATATTCTTTTAAACCGCTACCTCAACCGCGGGACCGCCTTTACGGACGCGGAGCGCCGTCTTCTCGGCATTACCGGGCAGCTGCCGCCCGTCGTGGAGACCCTCGAGGGGCAGGTCGAACGGGTGTGGTCACAGCTGCAAAAATGCCAAACCCCGCTGGAGCGGTACATCCACCTCTCCACCGTCCACGCGCAGAACCTTACCCTTTTCTACGCCGTCACGATGGCCCACCTCACGGAGGTGTTGCCGATTATTTACACCCCCACCGTCGGCGAAGCCTGCCAGAAGTTTAGCAATATCTACCTGCACGACCATGGGGTCTATCTAAGCCGTCGGTGTAAAGGGCAGTTCGCCGAGAGCATTCGCGCGGCACGTCCGGGAGGGGTGGATATCATCGTT